TTGATAGGTTGAGTGAACCTCACTGATATCATGAAGCCTACTCATCTTATTGTGAAAAAACGCAATATCAGTCCCCAAATCACTTTATGGAACATTGTGAGACTGACAGTTATAGTCACCACAGTTCGCATAGGATGATGCATTTTTCCACAGTGAATATAACTTTTAGTCAAGATTAACTGATTTTCTTAAAAGCTTACCCTATTAAAATATATATGTAATGCTCTCTATTTGAATGACAAAACACAAGTTTTCCTACTATAAAAACTGAAATTCACTCGTTGAAATGTGGATGCAATACCTGGGTTCGATTCCCGATCGAGGGGCTGATAGGACCTAGGAGTGATTGAATTTGTAGTCCATTCTGGTTGCGAATACATTTTGGGAAGCAATGCCAATTGATATTCGAGAAGAAAGTGAGGCCCATTCATATGATTATGGGAAAATCTATCTACCAGCTCTTTCGTACCTTGTACGACCCAGAGTAATTAGAGCTCTTATTCAAGATTAACTGAAGGTCTATAAAACCTTTATCTTAAGATTGACTAACTAAGTTCGTTTTTAGAAATTATTCATGTTGGTTGTAAATGAAGGTAAACTCATCAAAAAGGATGTGCAGTAAAAAGCAATAGATGTGTTCACCCTATTTCGTTTGGGGTGATAAAAGACTGGTAGTTGAATTTTCCCACAATAATATTAGTAAGCTTTGTTTCTATAAAATTTCACATAGCTTTGCTTCGCAAAAGGTACTCTCACCCAGGGTGGACTACCTTTTCAACCTCGCCTAAGTTTTGTCAACACCCTTAGAGGGACTCGAATTATAACAATGCAGCATATAATCTCAACATGCTAACCAAAACGCCACATTGCCACGAGTGTTCCTGGGTCAAAGGGCAGGTGCGCATTTTAAGGAAGGCGAAGCATTTCCCCATATCACATTTTGCGATGGGATTGCCGATGAGGCAAAGTTATATTTGCTATAAGAATAGACTACAGGTAAACCAGATTTATGAGATGCGTTCACCCAATTTCGTTAAAGGTGATGAGTAATAGTTGAATTTTTTCACGAGAAGATAGAATGTGGAGAACCAACAACGAGAACAGCTTACGTGAAGGAGCCAAGAAACAAAGGCGTCTGTTGTGTTCAATGTTATGGCTGCTCCCGGCAGACGAGTATCAGCGCCAAATGCCCGGCCACTGGACGACTCAACTACAGCCTGTCTAACCAGCAGACTGGCGGTCGTCTCGACGGCCAAAAGACTGACATGTAGCGCTTCAGGTATCCAAGAGCCGAGAAAGCCTGAGGCCTGAAGCAGACTGGGATCCAGCTTTGAGTTAGTAGGATAGGGTCGGTGAGAGGAG